TTCAGTCGTGGGCACCCTTAGTAGACAAGTCTTTATGCCGAGTCTATAAAAATATTATTTAAGGTGGTGGGGGGGGGGGGAAGAACTGTTTAAATGTATCATTAAGAGCACACAAATTAATATGACATTAATTCTGAGTGTTTTTGAAGCATTTACTGGCACTATATATAATTCTGTTGTTGTGCAAATCTTTCTGTCATGTAAACAAACCTCTTATAATGTTAGGTCTTATTCGTGTTCTTATTCATCCATTCAATCGTGGAAATTAGCTGCTGAGATAAGAGGACCGTTGTTGAATTTTTGGAGAGACGGCGACAGCAGCTCTTTGTTTGCCGTCGACTCTCAGGATAAGTGTTTTTGTTTTAATGTGGCACGGAGATGGAGCCTCTCGCCAAAAATTTTGTCAGTGTGATTGAACTCTAATAGAGAAATATTTGTGCTGCCTGTGTACTGTTCATCAAGGTGCCAGGTGAGGCTGAATGAGAGAAACAAAATTCACTGGTTGACATGGAAACAGGGATAGTAAGGGGACAGAGGCCAGATGGAAATGTGGTTTAATTTCCCTCCAGCACTCGGTAATAGGATGTTTTTTTTTTTTTTTTTTTCCCCAAAAAAAAACATCCAGCAGGTTTTCCAAAGACTGCACACTTTGCTTCAGGAGGAATACAGTGGAGAAGACCTTCAAATCATTGCATGTCCATCTATGGAGCAGGTACAGCTCTGTGGGATTAACACAGCCTTTAGGGGTTTTAGATATTTTAAATAATGATGCTCCAGCTTCTGAAAGTGCTTCAAGCCAACTTCAGGAAAGATACATTTAATAAAGTGCATCAGCTCAGGCCCAGCGAGTGCTCATCACTTTCCACGGCTTTATTTCAGATTAACCTGCTGCTGTCTGTGAATAAGTAATGTTCGGTGAATCGATGCACCCTCTCGATGGCGGCGTGAAGCCGGCGCTTCAGTAATGACCGGGAGGCTGAGGGGGCGGAATGACCAGAAAAGACCCTGCACCTGTGCTACCTGCTGGGACGGGAGTGCTGGATGGATGTTTAAAAAAAAAAAAAAAAAGTATCAAATGAAGGTTTGGGTACTCGTGTTGAGAAGGACTTTTCAAGATCAGCCTGTTGTGCAAAAAATTACAGGGGCTTAGGGTTACTCCTATTTAGAGTGGTGGGTTTATTATCACGGTTGCATCTCTTAATGTGGAACAGTTTTGGTGGTAATATAAAGATGGGGTATGGATTTAAAAATGAGGACATGACCGACTTATTAAAGTCAGTTACCAACTGATGGTCAGTAAGTCACGGTCATATGCCCAGTTCCCTTCTTTGGTTTGGAAGGAAAATGCTGCAAAAATATTTTAGTTCTTTATTTTACCATGCAAAAGTCTTTATACAACGCCTTGCATAAATATTAATACACGTTTAAACATTTTCACATTAGTCACATGGCATCTACTGACCTTCAAATATTTTGTTGATTGAGACAAGGAAGTGCATCACTGTGAAGTGGAGGGAAAAATTATACATACACAACTTGCATGTTTTTCTTAAAAAAAAAA